GGTGCTGCATGGAGGGGAAGGATAATGAGGCAGCCCCTGACAGGCTGGACACATCCCTGACCTGCCCATGGCCCAAGGGGAATGGCACAACTGCTGCTGGAGGTTTGGAAACAACTTCCAGCTGTTCTGGAAACTGCAGCAATTGAACTCGAGGATGAGCATTTTCCAGATGACAATGCCAATCATCTCATGGGGACTGTGGTGCTAAGGGATGTTCTGTGAGCTTTCCTGCAGCACTGCAGGCTGCAGCAGCCTCTCCCTCTGACAGAGATGCCTCTCAGAGCTTGCAGACTCCCAGGTTTGTCACACTGGGAGGATTCTTGTTGCTCATCTCTGTCAAAATCATTTTACATTTTATTATAATCYGATTTTCCTTTGTGTGCTTTATCTATACAGTAACAGAGTGAACCTTGCCCTTGCACTTTTTCAYTCTTTTGAAAATTTGTATCAAACCTGCTTTGGCTGAGGCCTTTGCAGGTGATTTTTCAAGTGAACCAAACCACKCCTTCACAACATAGTATGGTCAAAAACAGCACAAGACTACTCTATTGCATGAACAAAAMTACAAATTACAAGTTCTATTCTGCTGTCAACTGATCGTCAGAATTGTATTTAGAAAACACATTTTTCTACCAAATGTAACAAAAGGTGAAGTATCATTTTTAAGCAGTATGTGTTTTGCTGTTGCTGTGCTTTTCCACATAAGTCATCCTGCCAGAGGGGATAAAAAATTGCTTCTAGAATGGTTCCCATGAAGTCTATTCCAGATACTGCTTGATACAGTTTATACCACACGTGTAAAGAACAAACACAATTACAAACTGTGCATTATACMCATTGACAGCTAAATACTGTAAATAATACATGTCTTGGATACATTATTAGCAGCTGTTATTATGTTTGATTTACTTCACTTACCTAAGTGAATAGTAAAGCTTTCTTCTAACAGCCTTTGCTCTTCATAAATTCTCCCATTTCCTTCCACAGATTCCCTCAGCTGGCTGGGCTGAACTTTTATTTCATCACTACAACAATGAGAAAAGCACCAAAAAGTTTATCCTAATTTTTATTYGGGACCAACAATTTTGGGGAGGTTATACAGAGTCTTCTCAGCTGTTCTGTGGAAGGCAGGAGATCAAACCCATGAGTGTGAACTCCACTCGTGTGAGGTTTCACCTTCACCTTCCTGGCAGCARCAAGAGTAGACTCCACTGTCTGATTTACACTGCTTGGCTCATTTGTAAAGCATTCCAAGACTGAGAAATAAAATAAGTTACAAAACCTAGTTATTAAATAGTAAGAATGCAGGAATGAAAGGGAAACAAAAAGAATTCTTCTMGGCCTATTTATAACAGCCAAAACCTTATTTATGAAGTTACTAAATAMAGCATTTATTTTCTTCTTCCCACACAAACTGGGAGGTTAAAAAACACCTTATCAAATGATCCAGTGTTCAAATTACCAGGAAACATTTCAGGTATCARTTTCAGCATCTTCCCTACATTCAACTGTCTGGTAGTGATGCAACAAACACTGTTTCTAATAGATGGAAGAACATCAGCATCTTTGCAATTTGTTTCTGCGTTGGTGAGAAGTTTCTCTGTGTTTGCAAAGTGCCTCACCCCCAAAAATCTTTTATTAACTTGCAAGCAATTCCACTGAYTGCAAATGCCTTGTAGCAACATACTAGTGATAAAGAATAAGGATCCTACCCAATTTACAATTTCTAATTTCCCTGCAATTTCCTCAAACTTTTCATCAACTCTCTCCACAAGTGTTCACACTAAAAAATTCCAATTTTTTTAGCTGTCCACTGATACACACAAAGAAAAAAAAATGTTGCCATTTATTAAAATACCAYTATTCTACAGAACATCCTTAAGTGGTAACAGAAAGCCCTGTAAAACAGTGTTTAACACAGACACAGGAAATAAAGACAAAGTAGGGGGAAATTCCCCTCARCTCAAGCTGTAGTTTAGTGCACTACAACACGTTCTGGTACAGAGAGGTTGYAACATCGCACAGTGAAGAAACTCCTAAAATTATAAATATTTAATTATGATTATTTATTTGCCTTTGATTTGCTTTATTCTATTTAAATTATTGTATAAATATTATCATAATTCTAATAAATAGAACAACAACATCCTATTTAAAAGATTATATAAATGCAAATCCTTTCAACTATTACTACTGGAATTAAGCAGCACAGAAGAATGAAATACCTGACTGAGCTGTTGTTTGGATTCTTTAGATCCTGATGAAGCTTGATCACCCACTCCTGATACTCCTGCTTCTGGATAGCAGTAGTCTGTTTTAACTCATTGGTCCATTTGTTCTCCAGATCCTGACAGGAGAACAGTGATAATTGGARTGGTTTGGGTGTTCTTTTTCAGGTGATTACGTGCATGCCATGTTCTAGTTACCTGCTGAGACTCAAAATGCTGAGCTGCTAAGGAATTCACATCCTGGTCAGTCAGTGATTTCCCAAGCTCCCGCATCACTTTATCCATTTCAGCTCCTTGCCTGGAAGAGAAGTAAGGCAGATTTCAAAAGATTGGCAGCAGAACACCATTGGTTGGGATACAACAACAAACTTGCTTGTTTGTTACCGATCACAGATTTAAAAATTAATATCCACAAAACAAATGGACTTAAGGGTCAGGGATTCAATCAGCTCTTGTGTAAACAGAACACCACTTAGCTTCATTTGGGGCAGTCCCAGCTGCCACCAACAAAGGGATGTGATAAATTCCAACAGAGAGATGATAAATTCCATCAGAGTCAACACACCGCTACATCACACCTGATCTCTACAACAATACTGCTCTTTCTTCTGTATGCACACTTGAGAAAAGTCAATGAGCAGCAAAAAGCTTTGCTAACACCCTACTGGCAACATTTCTCCCTAAATTAGAAATCYGTACAATTCAGTCTAGAAGAAACCACAGCATGAACTGATATGTAATGTGCAATGTGAACTTAAACACAGACAGCTCAAGAGGAATACTGCCACCCAGAACGCTAAAGCAGACCCAGTGCAATTATTCTGGCACAAAATAGAGAAATCCACGTGCAATGTTCTCCCTCTTGTGGACAAGAGGCTAAGAGGCTAAGCCAAGCTTAGAGCCCAAGGCTTGGGATTCAAACTCAATGCTTTGCCCAAATCAAAACTTATATTCTCCTCAGTCACTGAAAATAAGAAAAAAACATAAAAGTAATATAAGATAGCTGACCATAATTTTATCACAGAATGATGGAGTGGTTGGGGCTGGAAAGGACATAAATGTTCATCTCATTCCACCCCTGCCATGACAGGGACACCTTCCACTATCCCAGATTGCTCCARCCTGGCCTTGGACACTTCCAGGGATGGAGCAGCCACAGCTTCTCTGGGCACCCTGTGCCAGGGCTTCATCACCCACTGAGTAAAGAATTTGTTCCTAATATCCAATCTAAATTTCCATTCTTTCAGTGTGAAGCCATTCCCCCCCGTCCTAYCTCTACATGCTCTGGTGCCAGCCATGTGTTGTATGACTTTGCTTTTACAAAGACAAATACAAGTTACACACGTTGTCCTATGAGTTCACACACCCAAGGGCATGCACTCCCCATTTAACGAGAGACAGAAAAACATTTAAAAACAAAAGGAATACCTTTCCCGTAGTTTTTTCAGTTCCACGTCCCTTTCACTTATTAATTCTGAGATACTAACAAAATAATTGTGTTCCAGGTTTAACAGCATTTCAGAAGCTGGAGAATGGATCAGATCATGATAAACATCTGCAAAATCTTCATCCCAGCTGGTTTCTTCAGGTTTGGCATGTTCTAACGTTGTCTAAAGAAAAGGTATGTAAGGTATAGGGTTCCTTTTAGGACATATAAGGATCCCTCATAAAGRTGGGGTAAAAACATGGGGGCACACACAGAGCCTTTACCATACATAAATTATCTTTCCTMATTTAAGCTTTCTGTATTCTATTTTAGCTTTCAATTTTCTTCTTTCTCATTCTTTCTATTTCAAAGCAACTGAGAATCATTGGGGTTTGGACTACAGTGAGGAATTAACCAATTTTCACAYACCACCATTTTGGAAAGAGCAGCCATATCCACAGTAATATTTGTACCTAATGAATTTTAGATAAGGCCCAAACCACCAGCTGTGCAAATAAAAATACTTTACTAGTAAGGATGACTAACCTCTGATGATACCAAGAATTTGATCAACAACATGGATTTAAGAAAAGCTATTTTTATTGAATGAAGAATGGCCCAATTACACCATGTTTACAAGCTCTTTATGTAATTTTTTACTTTTTCCTATATCCCATGAGAAGGAAATTCAATTCCTGTAAACCCTTCCTCAAATACTGCAGGTCTATCATTCCTTTTTTCCTCTTCACTCCTCCATATCTCTTGCCTTCCACTACTTTAAAGATCACATGCAAAACTGGACAYATTATTCCAGCTAAAGTCTCACCCTTCCTAAATAATGTGAAATAGTCACATGAACTCAACAAATGAACTGGAAAGTCTCTCTCAACTGTACACTTTCTCCTTCTAGTCTTAATTGGTGTGACTGAGATTTAGGATAGAAGTACCACTTTATTACCTCTTGCTTTAATTCTATGGCATTATAAGCCTTACATCTATTCTTTGTTAGAGTATCAACTGTTAAATGAACAAACCATTTGCCTCTCCATTTTGTACCTGCTGTTCTACTAAATTGAAGAAAAACCTGACCAAGAACCTGTAGGATGAAGACTTAACACTCACTTTCAGACAAAAAGAAAAAACTCTAAGAGTGGAACAGTGAAAGTGAATTTCACTTTAATTTTTCATCTTCACAACTGTGATTGTGCACACACACATACTCTGAATACTCACTTYCCAGCCTTAATCTTACCTCTTTGTAAGCTTTGGCCCAAGTATCAGCCAGCTGGTTGATGTCTACTTTTCCTGATTTCACTGCTTCCAGAGCTGCTTCAGCTTCCCTGTCATAATCTTTTATAGTTTCCTCTTCTACAAATTTGCTTAGAGATTGCTTCAGATCTATTACAAGAAGAAAATGGTGCATCAACAGAACACATTAATAATCTTCCAGGAAATCTATAAMTAATGTTTTTCACCTGTAAGCCTTTTCCTTGCTAGCACCAACAGCAAATTTCTCTTACATTTTGCTGTTAAAAACCAATTTTTTAAACACTTTTCTAGTAACACATCCTTCTTTTGGTTTCTCAGAGCAAACTGTTACAAATTGCTTCATACCATTTTCTATAAAGCRTGGCAGGTTGTGCAGAACCATCAGACGCCCGTGCAAATGACTGATATTCTCTTGCACGGGGAATTTGAGAGGCACAGTAAGCACCAAATGTTCATTTCCAGCACTGAATTTGTAAACATAGTCTCTCTCCCTAGTGAAAGGCTTTCCTTTATTAGGCTTCATCCTCTTGAGATGGTTTCCTGCAGTAGAAATGAAAGTAAAGAAGAATTAYATTCTTATAAAATCAGAAGCAAAAAATTCTAATGAAAACCATGGCTTTGTTAATGATTCACACCCAAGAATACTTAACCCTTCAAATTTTCATACCCGATTTTGACTTCCAAACCCACACAGCTGGAACTGAAGCATAAATAACAGTTTCCAAAATATTAAGTGCTTCTAAAATCTATTTCAGTGTGTCAATATATGAATTCGGGTAATTACTCTTAAAAATCACAAATCTCTGGACTTAAAAGCAGAACCAGGGCAGATGAGAATCCTGATAAATAGAAAASTAACTGAAACACGCAGACTTCTGCCCACGGATGTCTCAAAAGCTGAAATCCTTCACAACACAGAGAGATTTTATTTCCTCCTTTCTGCAGGTGCAAGGCCTGGGGAGCGGGGGAGCAGATGTTTGTAGTTAGTGATTTTTAGAAAGAACTGATTTTGTCTTGCTGTAACCTGTATTAAAAAATAATCCAAAAGAGATCCAAGGGGGCTGTGTGGAAATGAAAACACAGACCGGGAGCACAGATCTGTCCTGCTATTTTTACCCTCTCCTGCTCTCCTCTGCTCATTCGCATTCCTCTGGAACATCACCTGCAAAGCTGGACGGACACACTGCTTCAGCTGAACCCTTCCCAGTGCTAACA